AGTGGCAAATTGATATCATTGATAAATGTTGACTTTACCTAGGATAGACGTAGCTCAGTGGCAAAGAGTACTTATAGGATTGATCACCGTGATTAAGGTTACGAGTTTGATTTTCCGCAACGCAAATTCTTCCTGAACCAACCCCTTTGCCTTTGAACGCAAGCGAGGATTGATTAGTTTCCTAAACTATTAAAGGGACAAGGCCTCGAGTCTAAATGCCTCATACAAGTATTAAAAAAAAAAAAGGAGATAAAAAAATCGTTCAGACTATATAATTGATAGCATTATTTTTTTTTTTTAAATGATGTAAGCGACGTTATAATCAAACTAATTTGGGTCGATATAATAGTACAACTCAAATAAAAAAGTCAATGTTGTTTATTATAAAATAATGAAGACGTAGTACTCACATTTATATTATAAATTTAAAAATATCATATGCCAAGCTGATGAAAATTATTTATTTGTATTTAAAGATATATTAATTTTTATGACTAGGTTAAATAAATTAATATGATGAAATATCGATTTTTAGACATTGGAAGAAGGAGATTACTTATATTAAGGTCCTATTCGGTTAGCTGGCTTTGATTAGAGGATGGATCAAAGGTTCTTCGGTTTGGATATATAAGGATTGAGTCATAATTAATTTTTGATTTTCATGGGTATTTTGATTTGATCCAATTTTGATTTTAATTTCATTTTTTCTTATCTTAAGAGGAATTTGTATTCCATTTTTGAGATTCCCAAGTTTTTTCACTTAACATTTTCAAGTAGGATTAGGTGTATTTAGAAGCCATTGGCTCGAGTATAGTTCCTTAATTTTGTTAAATTTTTTATGAATATATTTATTTAATAAAATAAAATTTTATTTGCCGATAAAAAAAAATATTAAGTTCCTGTTCGGAACTTATTGCGATAACATGCAAGTGGATTTTTTTGGTTGACATTTATTTTTAGTGACGGAATAGACTTTTAGCCGCGGGATTTCTCTTCACTAATAAGTCATTTTCTTGTGATAGTAGCGATTATTATTTTAACTAGAGTTAAAAAAACTACTCATTGTGAGTTAAAATAATAATTATTATTTTTTTGAAAAAATTAAAATGAGTATTATTCTTGTGATAATGTTTAACGGTTGAGTAAATATTTTATGGAATATTATTCTTCTTAAAGTTTTAGCATTTGATAATAATTAATTAAATGTGTTTAAATTATTTTAACAACTAATCAAATAATTATTTTAACTGAATTTTTTTGATTTAAACTACTACTATTTATTTTAACAACTAATCAAATAATTATTTTAACTGAATTTTTTTGATTTAAACTACTACTATGTAAGCAGCTAATTATTAAGCGTTAATATTTGTTAAGAAAAATTAACTTTAAATCTGAGTTTAAGAAAAATAGGCTAAAATTAACTTTAACTTTCAAATTTTTACAATATCAAGATTAATCCATTACATGCTTTATCACAACTTATCGTACTTAATTTGTTAAATTTTGTATAATTCGCCCCTTCGTTTCTTAAACTGTATAATGATTTAAATACTTTGGTTTAAGTAAATAATTACGCCTTGTTCAACAATATTAGATGTCCTAGCAGGTAGCTTGTTTAATATAATTGTCAATTGTTTTATTAATTAATTATTAAATATTAGTTGTTAGTGATTAGCTCCTTGCATAGTAGTAGTTTAAATCCAAAGCTTAGTTTAATTAATTATTAAATATTAGTTGTTAGTGATTAGCTCCTTGCATAGTAGTAGTTTAAATCCAAAGCTTAGTTAAAATAATTATTTGATTAAATAATTTAAAAATACTTAATCAATTATTATCAAATGCTAAAATGTTATTATAGGACGTTAAGAAAAATAATGTTTCATAAAATATTTACTCAACCTTTAAACATTATCATAGATATCGTGTCCATAAACCGGATCTAATCAAATCAATTCCTTTAAAAAATTTTATAGTTGAATATATAAATTAACTCAATTTTATAACTTTAATCTTGTGGTATTTTGAACTTTCATATGACCTTAAACTTATAAACTTTAATAATATTACACATCTTTTGAAACTAATATCAATAATTTTTAGTGTCTTTGGCTTTTATCCGTAAAATATCGACTTGATATGTAGTTAAGAGGACTTTTGAAACAATAATTTCTATAATTTTTAACTTTTTAATGAGTGTTTAATTGATCTAATTTTGCAAGTTGAAATGTTCAATATAATAATAATAAAAAACTAAGTGTTTAATAAGTGTAATTTAATAAGTTAAATTATTTAATGGGTCAAAATATAAAAATTGAGGGCAACACAAAATTAAAGTAACAAAATTCTGGGGAAATTTATATATTCGGCCAAAATTTTATAGTTAAGATGTCTTTATTTTTTTTTTTAGGAAAAATCAAACTAGAAATTACATTTAGAAAAACTTATACAGATGTAGGATACAGATTAATGTGTTTATTTATTTGTGTAGAAAGTCTATTAATAAACAATTTATACAAAGATTAAAAAAAATAAAATCTTAATTTGAAGTATCTGATCGAGTTGATAGTGTATAATATTTGTATCATCGGCAATCGCTTACTCCATTTAGTAGCTATTCATGCCACCATTCGACTCCATAGTCTTTTTATAAGTCTGCTATGATTATCTTCAAATTTTTTTCTTATGTTAGAGAAGAGATCTGCATTTCTTTCTGCATAACTATCCAAATAACGAAAGACGCTAAATAAAATCACTATAATGGTAACAACAATAATTTAGAATTAGATTTAAGAACAAAATTACAAGATATGGGCAATAATAAATCCCAAATTTGGGCGATAATACAGATATGAAGATTATTTGAAAAAAATAAACAAAAAAAATAGAAAAATGCGTGACCATCGGTAAAAGCTCACCGATGGCTGTTTGTTGAAGAAAATAAGAGAACTTTTAAGTTTTAGGTTTTGGGAGAGAGAGAGGGCCTAAAGTGCAGCGTTAATTGTTATCTTGTGAAGATGTCTCCTTATTGAGTATAGATTTACAATATTTATAGTCAAGATGACTTCTTATAAGAGTATTGATTAATTGTTGAATAGTATAGCTCACCTTATCACCTTAAAAAAACATTATCACCTTAAAAAACATTGATATGAAAACGATATAGTTTAGAATATTTGTAATATCTGTTCGCATTGGCTAATTAACTTTGTTTTGCATGTCTCACATTCACATACACATGGAGAATAATTCATTAGGAAAGAGGCCTTACAATGCCAAGTCATTTAGCTGTTAGCTGTTTGAGTAGCTTTACATAAAATATTAAAATTTAAACGATGTAAAATACTAAAAGTTAAACGTTAAATGAATTAAATTTTTATGAAACACTATTTTAATATTTAAAAGTTAATTTAAATACTATATAAAAATGTGTTTAGCGTTTTCCGTGTTGTTTCCTCTTCAGGCCATCAATTCACAATCTTTGAAAATAGTTGAAAGGATTCACTTAATCTTTAATTAAACAACAAATGGGTATTTCGTTTACCTTATCAATAAGAAACATTTTTATTCTCAGCAGCAATAAGTGAGTATAGATTTACAATATTTATAGTCAAGATGACTTCTTATAAGAGTATTGATTAATTTTTGAATAGTATAGCTCACCGCATGCAAATTTTTTATTCTCAGCAGCAATAAGAAACATTATCACCTAAAAAAAACGACCTTATGTAATATGTAAAATATGAAAACGATAGGCAACAAACCCAAATTAATTATTGTGTTCATTTTTGACAACTTTTCATTCACGTTATTTAAAAAAAAAAAAATTTGGACTTATATAGGTAGTTGTGCTAAGTGCTAATAATAATTAATGAAAATAATATTGTTGTATATGCAAATAGATAACATTTGGACCACGGAAAAATTTTACCTAGACCGAGTTTATGGCCTCACTCGTAGACTAAACAATGAGAATAAGATTTCTTATTGAAACACGAGTATTTCTGACCATACACTGCAAAAAAAGAAGAAGATAAAATCAGAACACTTTTTAAAAAATACTTACTGTGATTGGTTTGGTCCATAAACGTGACCATTGACTTGGTCTATGCGAGTAATTTCCTTGGACTATTCTATGTTGAAATATATGTCGAGTTTATATCAATTTGAATTTTTCAACGGAGGTACGATTACTTTTTGAAGTATTTTTGAGGTATGATTGTCTGAATTCACAATAATTTAGTACTATTAAGTCTGAGTTTAAGAAAAATACACTAAAATTAATTTTAAATTTGAAAATTTTACAATATCAAGGTTAATCCATTACATGCTTTATCACAACTTATCATACTTAATTTGTTAAATTTTGAATAATTTGCCCCTTCATTTCTTAAGCTGTATAATGATTTAAACACTTTGGTTTAAGTAAACAATTAGGTCTTATTTAACAATATTAGATGTTGTAGCAGTTAGCTTTTTTAATATAATTGTCAATTATTTTATTAATTAATTATTAAATATTAGTTGTTAGTAACTAGCTGCTTACATAATAGTAGTTTAAATTAAAAGTCCAGTTAAAATAATTGTTTGATTAGTTATTTAATGTAAAATAATTTAAAAATATTTAATTAATTATTATCAAATGTTAAAATGTTATTATAGGACGTTAAGGAAAATAATGTTGCATAAATTATTTACTCAACTTTTAAACATTATCATAAATCATAAATATTGTGTTATTGAGCAATATATACAGAGAGTTTTTTTTTTAACTCTAGTCAAAATGTTAACCAATACTGTCAAATAGCAACTAAAAAAATCCGATTGCATATTATTGCAATATGCTTCGAACAGGACTTTAATATGAGTAATCTCCTTCTTCCAATGATTAAATATATATATATATTTTTCTTTTTCTTTGTTTTTTTTTTTTTTTAAATGGACCTAATTTGCCTATTTGTCTCTGAGTTCTATGTATCACATTAATGTTTGTTGACACCAACCACAGATATAAAGGCTTGGCATAGAGCAAGCGCTTCACTATATATGTATGGAAAGGAGAATGCTTTAATTTGCTACCCATACTGAAAACAAACCTTTCTGTATTTTTTCTCTCCAAATTTATATAACCTCAACCAAAAAAACCATGAAGGTGACAGTAGAAAGAACAGAAATTGTTAAGCCATTTTGCGATAGCAATAAGATTCCTTCTGATCCAAAATCACACTTCGTTCCTCTTAGTGTATTTGATAAAGTCAGTTACAACACTCATGTAGCTATCATTTATGCCTATAATCCACCAACTCCAACCAATGCTACCATTGAGAATGCTACCATTGAGCTTGGCCTGCAAAAAGTCTTATCAGAATACAGAGAATGGGCAGGAAGATTAGGAGAAGATGAAAATGGCGATCCTGTCATTTTTCTAAATGACAAAGGGGTGAATTTTGTTGAGGCATCGACTGATATTAAGCTTGAACAAGTCATGCCTTTGCAGCCATCTCCATTTTTACTTAGTCTTCACCCTAAGGCAAATGATGTGGAGGCATTATTGCAAGTTCAACTCACTAGATTCGCTTGTGGCTCACTGGTGATTGGCTTCACAGGCCATCATTTAGTAGCTGATGGGCACTCCGCTAGCAATTTTTTTTGGTTGCTTGGGGGAAAGCTACTAGAGGACTTGAACATAACCCTCTTTCCTCTTCATGATCGAACCATTTTTAACGCCTAGAATCTCGAACCATTTTTAACCCTAGAAATCCGCCATATTTCGAGTTTGAACACAAAGGAGTAGAATTTAAATGCAAAAATCTTGTCAATGATTGTTCTAATTATGATGGAATGTCGGTAGAAGAAGTTGAAGTCCATAAAGTCCATTTTACAATGGAATTTCTCTCTGAGCGCAAAACTAGGGCTTCTAATTCATTACCGAATGGAGCTAATGGTAATAACAAGCCCTATACCACTTTTGAAAGTTTGCTTGCTCATTTGTGGAGGACTATGACGAAGGCTCGTCAATTGAATGGGTTTGAAAATAGCAGTATAAGAATTTCAGTCAATGGTTGTGCGCGAATGAACCCAAAAGTACCAAATGAATATTTTCGTAACTTGGTGCTATGGGCATATCCAAGTTCTAAGGTTGAAGACCTAGTGCAGGAGACATCGGGTTACGCAGCCGAGCTCATTCGCCCTGAATTTTTTACTTGCAATTCTACCTTAAATAGAATTTTGTACCCTAGGCAATATAAACTTATCAACCTAGTTGCAACTATGCTTTAATTTGCTTTTAAGGTGTAATTGCACCCTAAACATGAATTAGAGCACCATGAACTTATAAATTTTTGCAATTTCACCCTAAAAACAAAATAAGGTTGGAATAACTAAAATAATATAAAAATGGACTCCATTCCTTATAGAATCCATTTTTTACATTGTTTTAATCAAAATTCCAACCGCAGTTTACTTTTAAGATGCAACTGTAACAAATCGACAAATCAAGGTGTTGTAATTCAGCTGTAGGGTGCAATTGCTCCTCAAAAGTAAATTAGAATATAATTACAATTAGGTTGATAAGTTCAGGGTGTCTAGGATACAAAAGTCAATTTTAAGTGAAATTACAACTACTCGAAAAGTGCCTGGTGAAATTGAAGGTTAGGTCATTTTAATTACATATCAAGTCGATTACAGATAAAAGCAAAACACCCAAAAAATCATTGATATCATTGATATTAATGTCAAAAGGTGTATAATATTAGCAAAATTTATAAGTTTAAAAATATGATGGTCATCCATAAAGTTTAGGATACGAGAAGGTTAAAGTTGCAATGCTCACGAGTGAATTTATGTATTCAATCATAAAATTTTTTAAAGGGTTTGATTTGATTAGATCCAATCTATGGACCTATCTATTGATTAAAATAATTAGAAATAATATTTTTAAGAAAATTATAATATTTCTAACTATTTATTGAATAAAAAAATTGAAGTGAGTATTTCTAAACTTTTTAAGGTTTAAATCTTGTTTAGTTGGACTTGGAACAGATAATTTTAGGAAAAAAGGGAGTACTTCTATTTTTTTGGGCAACTCGTTTAACAGAAATATATAGACATCCACTAAACTAAAGATGATTAGTTATGTATACTATATATAAATGCTGGAATAGGGAAAGATAACGAGATTTTTGATAGAGTTTGCCATATCCTAAAATAACTTTAACCATAATTAATTAAAAAATTACGTTTTATTAATTGATTGGATATATATTAAACTTATTTTTAAAATAAATACATTTAAATAATTAAATACTTCAAATTTTAAGTTTTATCTTTCTAGATTTATTTTTAAATTTTAAGTTTTATCCTTTCTAGATTTATTTTTTAATAATATATATATTATATATATATATAGTATTATATTATATTATATATAATATATAATGAATGAATTTGAAAATTTGTATAATTGCTTATCATTGCTTATATTTCAAAAATATTTTTAATTTAGGAGAAAAAAAAAAGAAAAAAAATATTCTTTTTCTTTTTTTTTTTCTTTATGTTTTTTTTAAGGAGAAAGATAAATAAAGAATAAAATTATATAATAATATTTTATTTAGGAGCGAAATAAAAAAAATTATATTCTTTTTTTTTTGTATGATTGTAGGGAAAATTGAGGGTTTATTTGGGGAGAATAGAACATTTCTTTTATGTAATTTTTTATTAATTAACAAATAGATAATCAAGAATTTCAAAATTTGAAGTTTTATCTTTTTTAAATTTATTTTTCAATAAATATATATATGATAATAAGACATTTGAAAATTTTTATATGTTATTTTAAATTTTGATTTTATTTTGATTATAATTTAAAATATTTTATTTAGGAGATATAATTTAAAATATTTTATTTAGGAGAGAAATAAAAAAGTAGATTATTTTTTCTTTATGTTTGTATGATTTTAATGGACATTTTAAATATTTTATGTTTGTATGATTTGAATGGACATATTTTTTGAAAAATAAAATTTCAAATAGAATATACATAATATTTTATTCATGGGAGAGATAAAAAAAAAAGAAAAATGTATATTCTTTTCTTTGTATGGTTGTAGGAAAAATTGAGGGTTTATTTTGAGGGGATAGAATGTTTCATTTATGTAATCTTTTTTTATTAATTAATTAACTTATTTTTTTTTTTTTTAACTGAAATTAAATTATCTTATTATTTATTTTAAATTTACAACTTAAAGACAATAAGAAAATAAATCCATGAATAAATTGATCAAGCTACCCAAATATTGAAGTCCTTAGCATAAAGTTTGCTTTGTAATTTTTTATTTATTGATTGGCCTTTATAAACTACAAAAACATTTTTTATTTTGTGTGCATCAACAACAAATTTCAATTAAATTATGGAATTTCTAGTGGGTTGATTTTTGAAAAATTTAAATTGGTAATTTGTTTTAAATTTTTTTTTATAAGTGTTGAGTTCTGAAAAAAGTTTTATTCTTAATAATAATTTTTTTTATTTTCTTTTCATTTTAATTGAAATTAATTTGTAACTATTACCATTTTTAATTTAGTAAGAGATTTATATCTCCCTTGTAAAAATAAATAGATGACATCTTGATGATTAAACATTTTTAATCTTCACAAATCCGGATTTTTATTTTTTTTATATGTTGAGTTCTGAAAAAAGTTTTATTCTTAATAATAATTTTTTTATTTTCTTTTTCATTATTGAATTAATTTGTAACTATTACCATTTTAATTTAGTAAGAGATTTATATCTCCCTTGTAATAAATAGATGACATCTTGATGATTAAACATTTTTAATCTTCAATCCGTTTGACTTTAAACAAAACAGTGTTTATGAAACTAAAAAAATATATATATATTTCTCTTTTGGATTACTCTTTGGGATTCAAAAATTTGTGTATATGTACATATATTTTTTTCTCTAATGTACTGGGTAAGTAATATTGTTGTTATAGCCAAAGTGATTACAATTATCAGTTCAGATCATCTTCTCATTTCTTTTCTTTTACCTAGCAATAAAAAATAATTTATTATTATTTTTATTATAGTTATATATAAATATTGATTTGAAGTTGAGGGCGTTGGACATTGAGTGATGATTTAATTTTTTTTGCGCACCTATCAAAGTTTTAAGAATCTGCATTTATAAATTAGGGACTGAATGATTAGATCTAGAGGTTGGATTGAACTTTCTTTTAAGACCAATAAAAATATAATTAAATACATAAGAAATAGTAATTATAAGTAGCTTGTACGGTAATGTCTAATATAAATCAATAAATTGTATTTATTTTAATCTAACAAAAAACTTATGCTTTAATATGATATAGATAAAAAAATTTAAAAGAGAATAAAAAATGAATTTGTAACGAACATAGTTAACATCCAATGCACGTCGTAACAAATAGTGTTCCTAAAAGAAAAAATGAATAATTTATGTTAATAAGAAACTTAAAAAAAAAAAGAAAAAGAAAACGTTAATTTACTTTATGGTTTGTTTCAAAAAGAAATATTGGTCAATGGGAGTGATGTGCTTATTTGTAATAGAATAGTTCAAAAATAAAGTCTCTGTAAGCAATGAGAGGGATGTGGTTATTTACTTTACTCTATTAGAACAATTGACCTTAGACATATTATTCATCTTGATTATATATGCTTTGTTTAAAATAAATGAATCTCATGGAAATTTTGTGAAATTAATTTCAAATTCAATGTTTTTTGTTCGAAATACTAAAAAAAATATTTATTTTAATTCTACAATTTTAATTTTATGAAATTGAATATACGTAAACTAAATTTTATTGATACATACATAAAATTTTCAAATGAATTTCACAAATTCAAATCCATATAAACTCTTTCTCTCTTTACTAATCAATTTTTTTTTTTGATATTTTAAAAACTGAATATGGATTATGAATATCAGTTGTACTAATCTGTTCATTTAATTGTTATAGTTTTTTAATAAGTTCTTACGTTAATGATATTTTAGATAGAAAAAAGATAAAAATAATTTTATTATAAATATGTGTTTGTTGAATCCATTTTGTGATTTTTAAGATTTGAACTTTGTATTTTGGATTTGGACTTATTTAGATATTTAATAAATTATAGCCCAATTAATTTTGTTAATTATTAAAAATAAAGAGATATAAAAAACGTGGGCCGCAATTGAACAACACAAAGCACTCCTTAATCGGTTGTTCAATGGTACAAAAGGTAGGCTACCAAGGAATGGTACAAAAGGTAGGCTACCAAGGGAATCAATGACGGAAACGTGTGTCAGTAGGTCCTTTTGATAACTGCCTATGAAGCTTATAAATGGAGCAAGGGAACAACGTACAAATCCCAACCAAATTCTCTGATGAATTCAATAAATCAAATCAAATTCTCCCACGAGTTAAACAATTTAGTTTTCAAAGCCTTGTCTAAGCACTATTTATTTATATTTTCTGTAATTACAAACTCTCTTTTTAATACAAGCAGTCAATTTACATTTTCAAGCAATCAAATTCATTTACATTTCAAGTAATCAAATCTTTATTTACAAGTTCTCTGCTCAATTTATTTTAATTGACAATCGGTGAAGTGTATACTGTGAATTAAATCCACAGGCCACAACCTAGAAGTCAGATCAAGCGCCATATTAATTTTTAATTGGTGTACTTTATACATTTAGCGTGCCCGCATTTTCAATTCAAGCCGACAGCCAGCTGATTCGTTACTATTTCCTTATAAAAAATCAACAATGTCAAATATAAAAATATAAATTATATTATATTATCTAGTTTTACTTAATTATCATATAAAAATATAAATTATATTATATTATCTAGTTTTACTTAATTATCATTCTTAATTATGAGAGGCAAATCATGAATAAAATTTACATTTCAATTCATTTGTTAAAGCGAATAATTCTTTTCTAATATTTCCAAACTTGTATATAAATTATGCCTAAGATGCAATCTTTTCCACTGATCCAATTGCATATTTTGATAAATAAATTAAAATTTTAATAGAATAAAACAAAATGGCTTCATTTTGTAGCTTAAAATCCTTAAATAGTTTTGAAAGAAAGAAAAAGAAAAATTAAAGTACGAAAAGAGTACTCTTGATTTATCGAGCAATCCAAAAGTACTGGACTTCTGTGTCTGGTCTAGCGCTTATGTTGCGTCAATTTCATCTCCTGCAATTATGTATTGGGTGCTACAAGTTCAATGTGGATGCTGCATTATTCCAA